GACCGAGTTCATGTAATCCGTCGACCGCCGGAAACCCCATCCCTCCCCAACACTCAGCATACGGCCCCAGCAGAAGCGCCAAAAGGGCTGGTTTGCTTCCCTCCCTCCCTTATCTCGAGCTATGGAATTTCATGAGGAAAACTTCAGACCGCCGACGTCATAGTCGGCGACGGACAAAGCGATGGAGCGATCGCGATCGCTCCATCGCTTGTCCGTCGCTTGCCAATCGCTCTCGGTCGAGCGATTGGCAAGCGATTGCGCAATGTGCACAAGCGACGGGCGATTGGCCCCGCCCCCAGTCCAATGCGGTCGGCTGCGGTATCGATCGAGCAGAGCCATTGCCCGTCGCTTGTGCACTTTGCAAGCGATTGCGCAATCGCTGCCAATCGCTCGACCGAGAGCGATTGGCAAGCGACGGACAAGCGATGGAGCGATCGCGATCGCTCCATCGCTTGTTCCGTCGCCGACTATGACGTCGGTCTCAATCGTTTGGTCTTCATCTAGAGCTCTTTGATTTTCTTTTTTGGTTTTTTTTTTGCTTGTGAATGTTTTTTGTTTTTCTCCCCTCTCACACTGGTTCCCCTTGGTTTATACGGTACTGCAACACTTTGTCTGCAATTACCCTCTTGCAATGTACTTTACGACAAGCAGCGACGATCGTTTAAACTTTACATTGTTGACAAGGAAGTTAACTATCATGGCTGTAATAGTTCCCAATCTAATGTTGGAGCTTTCAAGATCCTTCCCAGTTTCGTTATTTGGTAGCCGCACTTGGTTTGTTAGTGTTAGTAGGACGTTGCAAACAGAGTATTCAAAAATCGCGTTTGTAGGTAACACTAGGAAAAAGCCCAGGTGCTAACTGGGTTGGGGGGGGCCACGCGGCGGCGCGGCAGTCTGCTCGCCTGGCATGTTCGGAAATCCGTGGGCCAGGGGGAGTGTAGGCAGTCTAGGGGGGTGGGGGTGAGGGCAGTCACTTGACATGCGTGAAAAGCTGGAATGTTCGAGTTTACACTACGCGTGGTCCCCCCCCAACCCACTTAGCGCCAAAGCCCAAACGCCAAGTAGAGCAAAACTTGGTCCTATCCTCCCTCAGGCTCCCTTCCCCTCCCTAAGGCTGAGTTCCAAGCACTGTAAGTGGCTTACTCACTTGAATGTTCCTCCCCACCGACACGGCGCCAGGAACTATTAAAACGCGGTTGACGGCAAAAACCTTCCCCGTGGATTCAATTCTTGCTAGGCGACTTACAATCGGTTTTTTAAGGTGTCTCTTTTTGCTGATCACTTTCAAGATACAATTCTATTTCTAGGTGTTTCTTCTCATGTGCGAATGAGAGGTTAAACTGGTTAACTACCGAGTGTTTGTATAGGTCAGTTTGAAGGTTATGTTTATTGTTATTCCTCTTTTTACTTAATCTAGTCTCTTGCAACAAAGGAGAGATGGCTGCGCGCTTATGTAGCACAGCTCTAAAATGATTTATTGGCCCTCTGAGCTGAGCACTCCTTTAGAATTGTAGTTGGTGCGGATAGGATCATCTGCTTACAGTTAAAGGGTTTGAGAGGAATGAGGAAGAAGTACAACTAACCCCCGTACTTGGTAAATCACCTATGTATCTCCTGTCGTCTTCTTGTCACCAAGATCCTCTAGTGCCTCCAATAACGTTTCCATTCGTCCCGGTCACCTTCCAGACTGCTCCATTGAATTCCTCTCGCTCGGAGAACACGCGGCTCATCATTCCTTTCGTTCTGACTTTTCGTCAAGAATGTGTCGGGTTGGCGGTTATCGTTGTGATTGTTCGACGTCTGTAGGGGTCCATTCGGTAGCTGTTCCGCCCCAACGCTCGTCACAAAGTCGCAGGGTTTCCGACAGACCTTATGTTTGATAGCTTGGAAGTCCGATCTTTCATTACTCTTGTATGGGGAACGCCAAGGGTCGTTCTCCCTACAGCTCGTTGATACGCTGACCGCTTATCATGACCATCCTGCCCGTTCATATTCCAAAGCTCTGAGGCCTGAAGGAACTGCAGAATCGAGGAGCTGGGCATGGAGTCGGACATTTCACGTTCGCACTTCTTCCTTGGTGTTCATAGATGCACTATCGTTCGTTGCCTCTTACTCACATCAGCTTTAGAGCTGTCTCGTGCATCATGTCGTTTTCGAACATTTGGGCGCAATTCTATCCATTCACGCAAATAGGATACGTGGCTTTTGTGCTATGTCCAGTTTTTATACAAGGACTTATGTTATTGCTGCCGCATCGAGGGTATATAAGGTGATTTAGGTGGCTTTCAGGAATGAGAAGACCGGACGAATGGGAGGGAGGAATAAAGGTGCGTTCATAGTCGGTCGTCCGATCGTAACGATCGCGCACCGTTGGATGCTTAGCGATCACCAGACGTGTCCCAGGATGGCACGATCGACACGCATCCGTGCCTTACTGCCGATGCGTATACGATTAGGCCGCACGCCTATGAATGCCTCCCTAAGAAGGTCGGCATTAAAAGTTAAAGTACTGCCATAGAGTATACAGGGAGGGTAGCTGTTGATGTGTGAGTTGAGTCAGGCCTGTGGAGGGTCATCGCGCGACGTCGTGCATACGTGCGGCTTGCCGCGTGCCGAAGACCGCGTTACAAACGAGCGAGATTTACGCATTTAATGCTTCGCGCGCCTGTGTATTCGTCAGCTACTTTTCTTCGTTTCTTTCCTCTTTCACTTTTGTTATGTGGGGTGGTACCTGGGCATGTGAGGCGTGACAAGACAATAGCAACTGATAGAGGCTGATAAGGAAACTTTTTAATTTTGAGGCTAACGGCATAACCCTATTCACCGCTAAATTACCATAATTCAGGAGAAATGCTGAGTGTTTACAGATACAATGTGACACAATCTGGAGATCCCGCGGACCTTAGTTCATGTGATACGCGCGATACCGGGCGGAGCAAAGCTGGTATTGGGTATAATGCACTGATTCCCCCTGTCCTATGATGGCAGGATATCAGCTTCGTGCACGCTGAAACCTGCTTTGTTCGAGATTTCGTTCGTTTGATCTTACATTAGTATATTTTTAAGGCATTATGGCGATCCTTTCGACACTTCAGTCGAGGAAGTCATTGCCGCTCGATGAAAAATGGCTTCTTGTGCCGGCCCCGTTCTTGAAGGGTACTGGTTTTTTAAACCGCGTTGGATTATACGAAGAGTATTTTCATTGGGAATTTCTTGTTTAGGTACGTGGCCTTGTGAAGCAGCACATTGTAAGCTTCGATTACTTTGTCAACGAAGAAATCAAGACGATAATGCTTGCTAATCAAAAGATCACCAGTGATGCTAATCCAAATTTTTATTTAAAGTGGGTAACTTTCCTATATTTCACCTTCTCCTTACTTTCCTTTTCCTTTTCATTCGTTAGAAGGTTTCTTAATTGCAGATATCTTGATATACGAGTGGGGAAGCCTTCAAGTGAGGAAGGATTGAATCAGGTGATTCTTCTGTTCTGCAGGACTTCAGATGATCAAGATTCATTTGATTTTTTTTCAGATTCACGACAAGATCACACCGCAAGAGTGTAGACTCAGAGACATGACATATGCTGCTCCCATTATAAAACATTATTTAATGTCGCACTGTAGAGTACATCGTGGTACATCAAGCGAATTATGCAAGCGCGATCTGACAATTGGACGGATGCCTATAATGCTGAGATCGAGCAAATGCATATTAAAAGACCTGGTGAGCATCATTATCAAACTCTGTATACGTCTTCAAAGGGTCTGTATTGAAAATCCTACATTTTCTCTACCTTTATGCATGTGGATCACCTGTTTCTCATTGTAAACATTTCGTGTTTATCGAAGCTTTCATTTAATCTGACGATGATCTAGTTGATTAGTTTTTGATTCTTTGATGTCGTTTAGGCTGAGGAAGAGCTTGCGCGTGTACAGGAGTGCCCGTACGATCCCGGAGGTTATTTTATTGTGAAGGGATCGGAGAAGGTTATCCTCATTCAAGAGCAGCTCTCGAAGAACAGGATAATGATAGGCAGGAACTCTAATAAAGATCTCCAGTGTGAGGTGAGTCAATGAGGATTTCATTCATTCGCAATCGGTTTTCGTTCAGTTTCCTGCAGTTTGGTCCAAAGAAATTTGGTTGTAGATCTTGTATCGATTCGTATCTTTTTAGGTTCTCTCGTCCACTGCTGAGAAAAAGAGTAAAACGTATGTGATTGCTCGCAGAAATAGATATTGGTTACGTCATAATCAGCTAAATGATGACATCCCTGTTGCAATTGTGTTCAAGGTACACCTTGGATTTTGATAGTCACTTTTTGTGCCAATTGCTTGATTTTAAGCATTTCAGGCCATGGGTGTAGAATCCGACTACAATATCATCAGTGCTATTGGTTTGGAAGAGAAGTGAGTCAAAATTAACTGGTGTAGCTTACATCATGATTATAACGTCAGCTTCTGGCAGGTATGTTACCGCTTTTTCGGCTTCTTTGGACGAATGTGCAGCCAATCATATTTCAACCCAACAGCAGGCAATCAATTATATCACTTCAAAGGTAGCGACTTTCAAGTTTATTCGTAGTCACCACCATCAATATCACCCACACGTTTATTTTTCAGATCAAAGTGCGTAAATTTGGATCTCCTTATGGCGGAACTGCAACATCTACAGGGGTCCCACTCCCTAAAGAGCATGAGGCAGTCGATTTCCTGTCAAGGTAATGAATATCTTCATCTTTCTGTTGAAGCTGAAGCTGCTTATGTCTTTTTCAGCTCCATGATCTGCCATATTCCTTGCCATGACGGCAATTTCAAAATGAAAGCAATATTCCTGGGTTTAATGACGAGAAGGTATGTCGTTATTCAACCATGTTGCTGTGGATTTTCTACCGCCAGAGTTTTGTAGATTAATTCAAGCCGAGCTTGGTGAGTGTGATTTGGATGATCGCGATTTTTACGGGAACAAGCG